TTGACAACATACAAACAAATTAGCCTGTCTGGGCCGGCCTGTGGCTCACTTGGGAGAGTGCGGTGCTGATAACACCAAGGCCACAGGTTCGGATCCTATATAGGGATGGCCGGTTTGCTCACTGGCTGAGCATGGTGCTGACAACACCAAGCCAAGGGTTAAGATCCCCTTACCAGTCATCTTTAAAAAAAAAAAAAACCAATTAGCCTGTCTGTCTGCATTGCAATAAAATATCGTTTAAAAAGTAGGTAGTGTGTCATGCTTGGCCCATAGGCTGTAGTTTGCCAACCCTGCTCTGGACTATTACATTATGGTAGCCTCTTATCTACTCTTCCTACCTCCTATTCTCTCTCAGGTTTACCCTCCACAGAGTTTCTTTTCTAAGGTAGATCTAATCATGTGATCACCCTTCAAAGCCTTGATTTGCTTTACATTGCCTACTGGATAAAGCCCTAAATCCTTAGCACATGATGTTAATGATTTTCATTTTGTTCCCACGTATATTTCCAACTTCATCTAGTGCCATTCTCAACACAGCTGAACTACTCTCCTCCTTCTGCTGACTGTTTGGTCTTGACTTGGTTAAATACCACTCTCACTGTGAACCCTGACTCAGTCTTGCTTCCCATAGCAGGTAGAAATCATCGTTTCTCACTTGTGTTCCCATGGGCTATGTTAATTCTGATAGTGTAGCTCTTATTACATGATATCAGGTGTGTTAGTCTTTTTTGGTTTCAAGGAGTAGTAGCCATATTAATCAAGGTCTCTTTTGGTTTCAAGTGACAAATCAACTCTAGCTTATTTCAGCAAAAAAGAGAAATTGGGGCCGGCCCGGTGGCGCACTGGAGAGTGCGCCGCTTGGGAGCGCGGCGCGCCGAGGGTTCGGATCCCATGTGGAGACTGGTTCCCGCTCACTGGCTGAGTGCAGTGCGGGCGCAACACCGAGGGTTGCGATCCCGTTGCCGGTCCCCGGTACGGGCGCGACACTGAGGGTTGCGATCCCGTTACCGGTCAGTAAAAAAAGACAAAAAGGAGAAAAAAAAAAGAGAAATTGGCCCATGGTAAAGGCAGAGGTTGAACTAGAAACAGAGAATCAGACATCATTAGGGATGTGTATATGTATCTCCCTTCCTACCTCCCTCTGACCTTCCCTCACCTCTTCATCTCTCATTCCTGATTCTTTTCTATATTTTGCTTCACTCTCAGGCCATTTTTTTTTCCTGGAGGCTAGAACCATGGCTGCTGGGAGCTCTACACTCATATTCTCCTGCCTTGTGATAATTCTATTTGGAAAAGTCTCAGGGAAAGGTTGTGTTGAACTTAGCTTGGATCACAGGACAACCGCCTGTCCCTTTACTGTGTTAGCCTATGATTTGGGCTGTCTTGGGACAGTACAGACGGTCCCCGACTTTCAATGGTTCTACTTACGAGTTTTTTATTTCTTGACTTTACAATGGTGCAAAAGCTATATGTATTCAGTGGAAATTATACTTCAGATTTTGAATTGTGATCTTCTCCTGGGCTAGCGATATGTGATAGGATACTCTCAAGATGCTGGGCAGCAGCAGCCAGCGCAGCCACAGCTGTCATCAAGGCACACAGTCAAGAGGGCAAACAACCTATACTCTGCAGTGTATTAAATACATTTTTGACTTAGGATATTTTCAACTTACATGTAAGTCAAGGAGCATTTGTACTACCTTTGTGTTCAGGTGGGCTCTATCTGTTAACCAAGTAAGAAGGAAGGGACTATTGGCAGACAATTCTTTATTCCAAGGATACTTGTAGAAATTTCAATATGTGAGAGAATCCAAGAAATCCAGAGAACAGGACTCAGAGCTGGATTCTGGAACTGGAAGGTTGTTTGAGGCAGCTCTGTTGACTAGACTCTTCCTCCATCTTTCAATTCTGCCTGCACTGCCTGCTGACTCTCCGTGGGTATCTCCAGTCCACGAGCCCAAAAGAAAGAATTTGATTGATTCTGGTGATTACCATTATCTTAGTTGTGGCAGTATGGAAAATGACATTGTAGCCACTTAGAGGGAAGCATTAGGTATAGTATTTTGAAGTTTGGTCGGTCCCATACATATAAGCAGGTAGTACCTGTTTTCCCTGTAAGATTCTAAGCTTCTCAAAAGCAGAGAATTTTCATTTTTTTATCTCCAGAGCTTCGCACAGATATATTTGATGCATAGTAGGTGCTCATTGGATGTTTGTTTTAAGTAGACATTGAATATTGCATGAAAATTTGTATGAATATTGCATGAAAAGTTGTTCCCGTTGCCACAGGGACTGTTGAAAGGTATCAGGAGAGTCAGCCCATGTTCCAAAAGCCAGAGGGTGCACTTGGTCAAGATTTAAAGGGATGGTTAAATGAATGCTGTGATGTTAATGTTAACCATAATTAATAGTAATGAATATACAAGGTGTACACTTAGAGACCGTTCTTTCTAAATACCATGACTGCGATTCAAACAGGTATCACTGGATTGAGAGAATTAAAGCAGGTGCACAAGGTCTGCATTTTGCTCACATGCCTATAAAAGATGTATAAACATAGAGGTACAAATGGTATTACAATTTTAAATTGTCTTTGTTCTTTTAAATAGATCATATATTTATATTGTTCAAAGTTCAAGAGGAAGAGATGGACACAAAGTAAAAAAACTCTTTCCTGCCTCAGTCCTGCAAACAACCTCCCCAGAGTCAACCAATATTATTAATTTCTTTTCTGAAGGCATTTTCTTTCATACACTTTCTGCATATTGATATGTATTTTATAAATGTATATTACCTATGCAATAGCTGTTCCTCATTCTGCTCACCTTATCAGTTGCTGCTTTAACTTTACCTGTCTTCTAAATTACTTTGTTTTTTCCCTGGAGTCAGTGATCTTTCTAAACAAGTATCAGCACTTTAGGGCTTATGTGGTTTTTTTTAAAATTAGTTAGTTAAAAGCTATCAGAGCAATTTTGCTTGTCTCAAGCAGGGTAAAGCCTCCTTTCTGCTTCCGTAAGTGATTTTAATCAGCCCCACAGGACATCTTCCCAGCTTTTCCTTTAGATAAAACATCAAGTTGTTTCTACAATGTCCCTCCTATGTGCCAGGCTCTGTGCTAAACACTTTACTCAGATTATGTCATCTAATCCTTATAATAATCCAGTGAAGTTGGCATCATTGTGATCCCCATTTTTCAGATGGAAGAACAGAAACTTAAAGAAGTAACTTGCCCAAGCCCTCCTAGGAAGTGGTACAACCCGGACCTGAATCCAGTCTCTCACACAAGAGCCCCAGCTGTTGTGTATTGCTCTGTACTGCCTCCCAAGGAATTCAATTTTATGAAAGGACATTAAATGAGCATTTCCTAGGTAATGATGAAGCCAGACCAAGCAGAGCCTGGGTCTCCATCAAGGGCTGGGGTCCACCCATCATAGGTTTTCTTTTCACCAGGTAGAAATGGGAGGAGAAATGCACTGATATTTCATCCAGGTACAGGGTGGAATGATGCAATCCGTGAAGATCCTAGAGCTAGAAAGGAGAGGAGGGCTCTAAGTATAAAGGCGATGCTCTACCAGATGTATGAGTACCTAGAGGACTGTGGAAATCTGGGTAGTGAACGTACCTCTCACAGAGTTCATCTCAGATTTCTTTTGTTAAGGCCTTAGTTAATTATCACATTGTTTCAGCTTTGGACAATCAGAATATAATCTTTCATTTATCCTAGAGTTTGGTCTTCCACAGCTCTTTTCTCCTAAAGGATGCCTTGCTTTTCTGACAGACTTTAGCTGTCTGTGAGCTTCTCAGAGGGATAATCAAAGTAATGACATATATAATATCTGGTTCCGTCAGGCTTCCCGAGAAAGCAAAGCCTGAGGCAAAAGTTCATGTACAACTGCTTTATTCAAGAGTGCAAGTCCGTGTGAGGAAGATGGATTCAAATTTTAAAAACTTAATAGAAAATAATGATGCTTCTCTTTTTTGTCCACAGTCTTGGCTCTGAAATTTTGTATTCCAGAAATCCCTAGGTATGTAATGATAATAATTTTTAAAATCTGGCTTGGGATATGGGGACAAGTGGACAAGTGTTAGAGGGGGGAGCAAGTGGATTGTTACTTATGAAAAATTTAAGTGTGGCCTCTCTCATTCTTGAAAAAACCTGAAGAGTTTTTCTCTTTACAACTAGAGTGAAATTTATCTAGATAAATAAAGGGCTAAGTTATAGGAAAATCAGTTGGGTAACTTAGAAAGGTGATAGTTCATAGAGAAAACATTATAACTTGTAAGTGTTAAAAAACACATAAGGAACTTCTAAGGCAATAATTATATTTAAAAATGTATCTATGGATAAAATCAATGGTAAATTTCTGTATGTATTGTTTCAATAATACTTTATTCAAATACCATATCTTGAAATATCATGGAAAAATTTCATCTTGTTCTGGCTCACACCCTAAAAAGTTTTTCATGACACTAATAGACTGGAGTGTGGCAGATAGTTTGATTTACGTATTGTGTTTTTTGTTTGAAATAGGGAAGAGAAATGTGTTGTGAATGTGAAGTAAGATGAATTTATGATTTCTGGGGTCAGCTCAGTAGGAAAGAGGAGTCAGTCCTAAGCCTGCTGTTGATTGTATTTGGATCTAGATCTAGAGTCCAAGTTATGTAAAACCAAAAAGGTAACAAAGAATTAGAGGTATATTTAGTACATCACTTTTCTTTCATGAAAAATTGTTCCTGTAGCTCTTTTTCCATAAACTGAAGGTGAGATGGGGAGAAGAGGAAGGGTTAATTTCTCTGTATTTTTTAATCCCATCTCATAATCCAGAAGAATGAGGTTTTACAGTTAGGATGGAAATAATGCTAGTAAATACATAAATGTAATACTACATACTTATACCCTACTGACAGACTGAATTCTGTGTTCTGTTTTATTTATCTTTTAATTTTATGCAAGTGTTTAGAGAATTATGAAGTAAACATTTTGTTTTTTGCAGGAATTATCTAGACAAGACAGACAGTATAAAGGTAGCAGTATACAAGCTATTTTTTAGGATGCTTTGGGTCTATTTTACCATCTACTTATATAGTGTTTAAATAATTGTCTTTATAATAAAATTACATTTTAGTATAGATAATAGAAATATAAATACCATTAATAAATTATTACAAATACCTCAAACTAAAATAATGATAATGCTAGTTTTTATTTCTGCTTCTATTTTAGGCACCAAAAAGTAGACAGAATGGCAGATTGCTAGTATTTGATCCAAAGGGTAAATGATTTATTACTTAGAAAGAACATGTTTGGCCACCATTTTATCATAAATATTAAGAAGAATATTGGAATGGTTGAGAGTGATTGAATGAATTAGCAATTAAATCTTTTATTATATTGCCTGTCTTTCAAAAAATTCTAAACATTTGCCAATTAGAAATGTATGTTAGAAACATCACTGTTGATAAAATGCTGAGGGTTTCTTTTCTTCTCTTTCAGAAAAAGTGATGACTGAACCAAATGAAGCAATGTCAGAGTAAGAAGATGTCTTTGATTGTGCAGCTGATCTGTCCTATGCCCTTTAAGCAATTAGAACTAGATAATACAACCATTTGTCACCCAATTAAATTTGAAAGGCCAGAAATGCATGATTAGCATTTTAGCTTTTGCTTCAGTCAAAGCAATTGTTACTTTGATAGGACATTTAAAATGAAAAATGAATTTTGATAAAAATGTAGAGCTATAGATAATATTCACTTCTACTTTTTAATGTTTTAACACCATGTATTCTGTATTTTTCTTGTATAGTAATTTTCACTGCTCATTCCTATTTCCCTTTGATTCTTGCTTATTTCTTTCATATTATCTCTTTAAGTGAATATTTACTTTAAAATTAAACATTCTTTATTTACTATAACATGAATTGTTACTGCTAAATGAAGAAAATATCACCTCAACTTGAAGAAACTGGTGTTAAAAAAGTCATCATACAGGGCCGGCCCGTGGCTCACTCGGGAGAGTACGATGCTGATAATACCAAGGCCACAGGTTCGGATACCATATAGGGATGGCCGGTTGCTCAGTGGTTGAGCGTGGTGCTGACAACACCAAGCCAAGGGTTAAAATCCCCTTACCGGTCATCTTTAAAAAGAAAAAAAAAAAGTCACTGTATGATATCAATTTAGTAGCTAAATATTAAGTACCTGTTTGGTTCAGGACACTGATTCTGATAATTCATTAAAGTCCTGCCTGATATGATTATCTCCTACTTTCAGAAAAAAAATTCTATTTATTCTATGAAATAGTATAGTTTGAAAGTAGATCATAAAACACATTCAAAGGGATTATTGGCAAATTGGTATGTCCCTTTCTGGTGCTATTTTTCTATTCAAATTCATATTATTTTGGTTTATTCTGAATATTATTGGCTGGGAAAAATTCTACCTTATGCAATACGTATCTTAATTTTTATAATGTCAAATCTAAAAATGTCCACCTTGACTCTTGTTGTAAATTATGTATATTGCAAGTTATATAAATATAACACATATTTTTATATTAAAGAGAAAGCAGATCAATGACAGAGGATCTATATTTATTTTAATTTAAAGTTATACCAGCCAATAACAAGTATATTAATCTACATGTTATTATATGTATCCTATTACATGGTTGAAAATATATTTAAATAGAAAAATACCTAAGAAATGTTTAGTTGCTTTTGAGGGAAATATGAGATATATCTTTCAATAATAATAATAGTAGAAGTTAATAGGTCCTTGATGAAAATAAATTACTATTGTGTCCATGAGCCCCAGTGATCACAGACTGTAATAAGCAGTGTTGGAACTAGAGCAAGGGGTGATCCACATAGGAATAAATCAAATGCAGCCTGGGCCAGAATAGAAAAGCAGAGTGACTACTTGTTCTCTCAATCTCAGTAATAATTGCATTTGCCTAATCAAAGTTCTTTTTGCAAGGGCACATGGTCATGTTCTCTTTAATTCACTTGCAGAGCGGAGCAAGGGTGATTAGTGTGGCCAATAAGTTTGTCAGGTATGCAGCATTGTTGCCTCAGGTACTTCACCCAGAGATGAAGGTAAACAGGGCCAGACCTGGGAAGAAATGATCAAAGAGGAAAACAGAAAATCAGGCAGGACCTTCACCTGGAGAAGAGTGTGACCGATCTGCCAAGTGGATGAACTTGCTCACTGCAGCTTCCATTCCACTCCACCCTGCTGCCGGCTCCATAGGCTGGCTGACTGGCAAGTGGGGTTGCCAGAAGTCCTATCTAGGTTGAGTTAAGGAAAACTAGAACTTTTCTTCTTCAACCAGTTCTTTGCCTTAATCTTCTGATTCTTCACTCCAGTCCCAGTCACAGTATGTGGACTGTGTAATCCAAGAATTTCAAATTTCTGTGCACACAAAGCCCACATTTATTTCCTTTTTTCCCCATGAATCCCATGTGTGAAAGATTTTATTTACCCAACAAATTGCTTTTAATTAACAAACTATTTTCAGCAGTAGAAGTAAAATATATCGGGCCGGCCCGGTGGCGCACTGGAGAGTGCGCCGCTTGGGAGCGTGGAGGCGCTCCCACTGAGGGTTTGGATCCCATGTGGAGACCGGTTCCCACTCACTGGCTGAGCGAGGTGTGGGTGCAACACCGAGGGTTGTGATCCTGTTGCCAGTCCCCGGTACGGGCGCGACACCGAGGGTTGCAATCCCGTTACCGGTCAGTAAAAAAGACAAAAAGGAAAAAAAAAAAAAAGAAGTAAAATATATCTTTAATGCTAGACAAAGTTTTTTAGGTCTTGAACCTTTGATCTATTGGGGTTTTAGTCAAGATTCCAAGATCTATTGGGTTTTTGGTCAAGATTTGGAAGTGAGGGGAGAATGGTTGAAACAAATCCACAGCTCTCAACTCTTTGAGGTTGAAAAAAATTGTACCTGTAGTTTTTATTACAGAATCACATGTTTTATCTTTTCTAAAATAAGTGACAAGCTCTTTTTTATTACCATTTTTACACTTTAAGTAAATGCCTCTTTGGATGCAGACTGAGATTGACAAGCAAACTTTACACCTCACTGACACGAGTCTCTCTCAATGTAGCTAAAACATTTGCAGAAAAGTAAGTTTTAATTACTTTTGGTTTTAGGCCTGTGTTTGACAAATATAAATTATTTAAAGTTTAAAATATAAATCTCCTGGGCCAGCCCGGTGGGAAGCGGGCGGCACTTGGGAAGCGCGGCGGCGCTCCTGCCGAGGGTTCGGATCCCACATACAGACCGGTTCCCGCTCACTGGCTGAGCGAGGCGCGGGAGCAACACCGAGGGCTGCGATCCCGTTGCCGGTCCCGGTCCGGTATGGGGGCGACACTGAGGGTTGCGATCTGTTGCCGGACACGGAAAAAGACAAAAAAAAGAAAAAAAAAAATATATATATATATATATAAATCTCCTGAAAAAAATTATTAATTCCAATAGAAATTTGGGAACATTTCCTGAATATGTCCTGTCCTCTTTACATACTAAGGAAAAATTCTAAAACCTGGATTATCTACCCTCTAGCTTAAGTATGTTCCAGTGGAATACCTAACCTGACTAACTCTAACTTTAGTAAGTAATAAATTAAATAACTTCTGTTCCCAAAAGATATAAAGTAAAAATTTAAATCTTTCCTCATTCATAACTGTATTTAAGTTAAAGTTAACAACAGAGGGCCGGCCCGTGGCTCACTCGGTAGAGTGCGGTGCTGATAACACCGAGGCCCCGGGTTCGGATCCCATATAGGGATGGCCGGTTCGCTCACTGGCTGAGCGTGGTGCTGACAACACCAAGTCAAGGGTTAAGATCCCCTTACCGGTCATCTTTTTAAAAAAAAAAATAAATAAAGTTAACAACAGATCTTTTAGACTATACTAGTTATCTGTTTTTCTTAAATGGTTAGAGGCCTTATTTCCATAAATAACGTCACTTTCTCAAATGGAAGTCAATAGATTTTAGTTGAGGAGGAGGTTGAAATTTGAGCCTCTGATTCTTTGAGACTGTATATGAGAAAGACTATAGAAAGTGATTATAAAAGGAATTTATATTTACTGTTAAAATCATGATTTGATCAATTCTCATATAGATATTTTTCTGCTTCCAAATAGTAATATTTCCTTTATCTTTAGGCCATTGAGTAGTATGTTGGCTACCTCCATGTGTGTTTCATTAAGATTAATAAAGGTATTCCAAATTATTAAAATACCCAGAACTATACTAGCTAAATTCCCCTCCATATGGATATACCTTAGTGAATATATATGTACCATGTTTCATAGATTCTAAAGCACACTTTTTTCTTTTTCATATTTTAACATCTCTTAAATTGATGTTATCTTACACTTATATCTGGCAATGATGTATCTTAGTGGTACATAAAACAATGATACGTCTTAAAATAAATAGATGGTATCTAGATTCAATGAAATACTATAATTCAGGGAAGAAAAGAGGCATCAAAGCCCTTCTATCTAGATTACATATTAGTGCATATGAATTCTAGTAATAACTTGTGTGGTGACCTTTGGCATAACAGGAATTTCACCATACTGGAAATTGAATATTTCAGTTATATCTCAACTTTTCATATGTGGAGTTTCTTCTCTGATGCTTTCTTTCATAATTAGAAAGTCAAGGGGGGACAGAAGCAGAACAAATGTAAATGATCTTTGCTGTGTATTTTTCATTTCCAGAAAAGGATTTTGTCTTAGTCCCATACTGGGGTAGTAAAGATTCCATTCTCTCCCATCGTATTAAGAATATAACAAGCTGGTCAACCTATTTGCTAAATCAGTGCTCAATACCACTAACTTGACTACTAATATTCTGGATTCACATTTCAATGGGGGAAAAAAAAAACAGAGCCACCATAACTTTGGGGAAAAAATAATACTTTACATCTTTTTATATCTTTGCATGCAAACTAGAAATTGAACTTTTTTTTTTTTTTTTTTTTAAAGATGACCGGTAAGGGGATCTTAACCCTTGACTTGGTGTTGTCAGCACCACGCTCAGCCGTGAGCTAACCGGCCATCCCTATATGGGATCCGAACCCGTGGCCTTGGTGTTATCAGCACCACACTCTCCCAAGTGAGCCACGGGCAGGCCCCAGGCCTATTTATTTATTTATTTATTTATTTATTTATTTATTTTTGGAGGGCAGCTGGCCAGCAAGTGGAACCAAACCTTTGACCTTGGTGTTACAAGGCTGCTGGGACTCAAACCCGTGGCCTTGGTGTTATCAGCACCACACTCACCCGAGTGAGCCACAGGCCAGCCCGAGAAGTTGAACTTTTTAAACTTTGTGAAGGAGACATACTGAAAGATTCTTAAGACCTCAAAAAATAGACTTGGTGTTATTATTCCACAAACGTGGGTGCCTGTCTTAGTGAACAGAGTGCACCACACAAGAATCCTTGTCTCAATGCTTTATTTACTGACATGAGACTTCAGGCTTAAAGTCTAAAAAATAAAGTTAACCCATTTTTAGTTCAGCTACTTAATGAAAAAGACTATTTTGTGTTATGATCAAGGGTTAATATTAGTGTTGGACTCTCTCCATAAGTATAGCATTTAGCAGTGGCAAGAATTAATTTATAAGCATTAAAACAAACACATACAAAAAAACCCTCAAAGCTAATTTTCTTAGTTTTATCCCATCATATCACAATGATATACCAAAAACATATATATAGCTGGTTGCTTATATGCTCTATGTTAAAGAACTCTGAAAAGATCCTAAGAATTGTTTCACAATAATAAATGCCAGGTTGAAATAGAATTTTAATCTGTAAAAATTATTTGTAATGCTTTTCCACAAAGAAGATAGCACATTTTAGCTATTTAGCTTATTATTGGCATATTATAGGTATATTATATTGTGTGTGTATATTAAATTGTGTGTGTTTATGAACCCATATAAAGCATTAAACAGAACTGCGACCTAGGGAAGTATTTTTTTACTATCTACTTTAACCTTTAGGAAGGAAGTCTCTTCAAAGAATAATGAAAATAAAGCCTCTTTAAAGAATACTGAAAATAGAATATCTTCAAAGAGCATTGAAAATAAAGATATCTTAAATCTACAGTCTGATCTGTGGTCCTCTTCCTTCTTAAAAGAAAGCACAGGTAATAACATTTGTTTTATTGAAATGAGTAACTGTGGCTTCTAATTTAGCCCTCCTTTTCCGTGACCTTTCAGAGTTGACAACTTTGTAGGTCTGAGGCTGGTCATGGGAATCAGTAGTTTTTCAAATTCCTGTACTGGGTGATTCGGATATGCAGCCAGGTATGGGACCATGGGTATACTTTACATAAGATGATCATGATAAAGTATTAAATCCTGGAATGAATTAAAATATCTATGAAAGCATTAGCAAGTTCCATTCATCAGAGTGCCAGGCACTGGTTTAGAAGCTATGGATACAATAGTTGGCAAAATAGACAAGGTCTTTGCCCTAATGAAGTTCACATTCCATACTACTCTGCCATAGAAAAAGAACGAAATTCTCCCATTCACAGCAACATGTATGAATTTAGAGAAAATTATGTTAAGTGAAGTAAGCCAGGCACAGAATTATTGCATGTCCTCACTCATAAGTGGGAGCTAAAAACAGAAAGAAGAAAAGAGGGAGGGAAGGAAGGAAGGAAGGAAGGACAATCACAGTAATTCATTGATCTTTCAAAAGGAGAGAACTGAGGCCACCAGAGTAGGAAAGGGAGAGGGGGAGGAGCGGTTAGCAAGAAATTGGTAAAGGGCCACAAAAAATAAATTACATTGTATATGTTGAATACACTACTTATCCCGACTTGAGCATCACATATTGCACACCGGTAGGATATTCAACACTGTACCCCACAGATATGTACAATCAACTATGTTTCAATAAAGAAATAAATAAGATTAAATAAATTCATATTCTAGTGGGAGACAAATAGGCAACAATTAAAAACACAAACAAGCCAGATGATTACAGGTTGTGATAGGTGCTATAATGTAAATAAATAGCACCTGGGGAGAGTACTACTTCAGATCTAAGGATCAAGAAACTTGTGTCATGATGCTAAAGTGTTTGTGAATTGAATGAGACAGTTCCTGTGACATCACAGGATATTCTTAATTCCTTATTGTGACCTTCCCCTGATGACATCAGTGTGGTGAGTCAGTGGGCAGACTGGATGCATACTGCAAGATCAGGGTGGCTGTGAGCCGATGGAGACTGTAAATGAAACAGAGGCAGGTAGGTGGATGGCCTGAGTAATCCAGCCACCATATTCTTGGAAGGACTCGATATCCCTTTTCAGGGTAGCACTTTTGGTCTAGAATCAGGAGTTTGTTTTAGAGTCAGGAGTTTTATCTTTGTTTTTGGTTTTTATGTTTGTGGTTTTTTTGTTTTGTTTTGTTTTTAAAAGATGACCGGTAAGGGGATCTTAACCCTTGACTTGGTGTTGTCAGCACCACGCTCAGCCAGTGAGCGAACCGGCCATCCCTATATGGGATCCGAACCCGGGGCCTTGGTGTTATCAGCACCACACTCTCCCGAGTGAGCCACAGGCCAGCCCTTTTTTGTCTTTTTTTTTTTTTTCTATTTTCTTAACATTATCTTCTCTGGAGCTCTCCTAGATTTCCTCATTTTCTTCTTTCTGACACAAGGGTTTATACATTATTCAGAGTAGCTGATAGCCACATTACCATCAGAGAGGACATCTCCCAAGACTTCCCAGGCATTCAAAATCTTTCAAGAAAGGGGTGGAGATAATACAAGTTCAGTTTGAAACTGTGTCCATAAAATCAAAGAAGTCAGCAGGCTCACTCAGTAGTGTTTCCAAGATGATTTTAGGAGACACATAGTAGACTTTTTAAAAAATTACTTTAATAGTATACTTATTTTAATGTGTATTAGAAAAAAATAATGCAGGGTATAGTTAAGAATCTGGACTCTGGAGGCAGATTAACGCCCAGATCTACCACTTAATTAGCTGTGTGAGGTGGGACAGGTTATTTAACCTCTCTGTCCCTCAAGTTTCTTCATCTATAAATTGGAATAAAAATAGTACATACCTCATTAGGATGTTGAGAGGATTAAATGAATTAATAAATTCAGTGTTCAGAAAAGTGATGGCATATAACTTTGTTATGTTTCTTATGTTACCATTATTAATGTATCAGTTTCATGGATGATAATAGGATCTGGCAAAATTTAATTTTTGAACTTTTCATTCATTGTTTATTGACTAAATTATATATATTCTGTTTTAGGTGAGGCGGGCAAAGATGTAGTCATTGCACAGCAGAAGAAAAATAATGAGTATTGCCTTCAGGACGTTGATGATAAGTTGTCAGAATCAACAGATGATGGTGGTGAAGATGATACTAATGATGAAGATAATGATGAAGACAGTAACCCTAAAAAGGTTACTCATGCACCATTAGAGTTAATGGCAGAAGTAAGTTTCACCTGTGCATTATAATTAAAGAAACATAAAAATATTGAAGTAACTAAATAGCATATAGACTTGAAGATTTTAAAAATTAGTAAAAAGATCCTTGCCTACGTACAGATGCTTATCTGGCTACTCATATCTTACTACTTTCACCAAGTTGGAGGTAAAGATGATTCTGGAAGTGACATAGAGTACTCTAGGAGGGCAGAGGCAGGAGTAAGAGAAGTTTTTTTTTTTAAGAAAGCTCTTTAAAGACTATTTTAAGGAATGCTTTCTACATACTGGACACCATGCTAGTTGCTGGGGATATAGAAATAAATAAGGGAGATATATCCTTGCCTTTAAGAACAGGCACATATAGGGGCCGGCCCGGTGGCACACTCGGTAGAATGCGGCGCTTGGGAGTGCAGCGGCACTCCCGCCGAGGGTTCGGATCCCATATAGAGACCGGTCCGCTCACTGGTTGAGCGCGGTGCAGGCGCGACACCGAGGGTTGCGATCCCATTACCGGTCACGAAAAAAAGACAAAAAGGTAAAAAAAAAAAAAACAGGCACATATATAAATAATCACAATAAAATGAAATACATTCTAGTAAAACTATTTGTGAAGTTCTCTGGGAAAAAGGAGGAAGAAGTAACTAATTGGGAAAAGAACCAGGAGGAACAAGGGATAAGAGAAGGATTTTTAGAGGAAGAGACATGAGTGGAATCTTAGAAACTTGAAGGAAGAGGGAAGTTATAGGAATTCATCCAATAAATATGTGGAAAAGATGTTCCTGGCCTAGGAAACAGCACATGCAAAGGCACTAAAGCCTGAAACATCACACTCGAAAACTGCACATAAATGTTTATTGATAATACTGTGGAGAAAAAAAAACAATTTTGCTTCACTTGTGATATTATAGTCTACCTTTAATTAGCATTTTACAACTTCATGTATGTTGTAAGAACTCCATAACAGTACACCTTCATTTCCCTTTCTCATCCTTTAGGCTATTGTTGAAATTTTACTTCTATGTATGTTTTAAGTCCCACAATACATTTTTGTTTTAAAACATCAATTATCTTCTAAATAGATTTTAAAATCTTTTCTTAAATGTCCTTTTTACTTACCCACATATATACTATTTCATATGTACCAGTTCTTCATAGCTTTGTGCAGATCCAAATTTCTACCTGAGAATTGGGGACATGATTTTCTTTTCCATTCTCTCTACTGCTATATGTATTTAACTTTTCCATGATAAAGAGATTTTTAAAATATAAACAATAACTGCATAATATACTGATCACATTTCCTGACCATGATCAATGAAACTAGACATTAATAACATTTCCTGAACGTGATCAATGAAACTAGGCATTAATAACAAAAATAACTACAATAACAAGTTAAAACCACTTAAAACTAAAAGATATTCCTTCCGAATGACACTTTAGTTAAAAAGGAAAATCAAAGCTAAACTTATAAACTATTTGGAAAATAGAGATTTTAAGTATTAAAATTTCTAAAAAGAGCTTAAAGTTTCAAATGCTATCATGATGATAATGATGATTATGATGATTCAAGGAAGAATGACAGTAAATGAACTAAATATTAATGACAGTAACTAAAAAAAATAACAAAATAAACATAAGGAGAACAAGAAAAAGAATTAAAGAAATTAATAATTCAAAGTAAAAACCAAATTAATATATCAAGAGCTGGATATTTGGGGAAAAAATGACATAGATAAACCAGTATGTACCATAATTAAAATTGAAAAAAAAAACACAAATAAGAAAGAAAATGAAGAAGCTGGCTAGTTAGCTCAGATGGTTAGAGCTCAGCCTTATAACCCCAAGGTCATGAGTTCAGATCCTTATACCTGCCAGCCACCAAAAAAAAAAAAAGAATGAAAATGTCTTAACATTTAGACAGGAATAGATTTTTTAAATATAAGAATTCTATTGCACAAGTTGAGCACCGCATTTATTAACATGTGAATAAATGAGAATTTTGATTAAATTAATGATTTATAGAAAAATCTCTAGAAGAGTTCTATTTACATTAGAAAAATATGAAAAAAAACATGGAGAAACTAGAAAATTGGTAAAGTACTACTTCTTAAAATCATACCTAGGTATTTGTCAAATATCTGAAAATGTGTGAGAAATGTCTCTTCTATATTACTCAGTGCCCTGTCTCTTGCAGAGTAAAACTCGTGTACCAGCATGTGGTTCAGAATATGTCACACACAGGCAATAATAATCATCAAAGTTTAGGGTTTTTTAAATGGAAACAGCCTAAATAGCTCATAGTGGAAGATTAGTAAACTGTAGCCTATGTAAGGAAAAATATATAAGAATACTTAATGCTATTGGGAGAAAATGAGCACAGTTTGTGGCTTATTGAAAAAAAGTTACTGAATAACTTTTTAAGGTTTTTTTGTAAATATGTATGTCTTTATTTATGGAAAACAATATTAAAAGGATATACATGAATATGTTAAAAATAAACGTCTCTAGATGGTAGAAATATAGGTGCTTTTTAATTGGAGACAGAATGTGTTTACTTTTAAATTTCCTACATAAAAAATATTATTTGTAACAAAAAATATAATAAATATAATAAAAGTAAAACTGGATGATATAATAGCAATGCTGGAAAATATTGAAAGTACATAATGTACATAATTGTGATTCTACATTTTTTTCAACTAAGTGCTGTCGTGGAATTAGGGACTAAGCTCACAGATAAAGCCTGTGTCTGAACCAAAGGTATATTAAAGTGATTAATGTCTTCACTGTCTGTGCCAGTTGAATGAGTCAGCCTAGGTATCCTCCAATTGTTCAGTAGTACATACACAGTGTGGCTGTAGCAAATCAGGGCTCTCATATTTATTCCATGTTGCCTTGGCATCAGAGGGCCTTAACTATCCTTGATTGATTGATTATAGGCTCTTTCCTGGAAAAATGTGTAAATGTTAAACACAAAATAACTAATCATTAATGGAATATTTTCTAGGGAGTTTATAAGTGACATTTAAATTCTCTCTGAAACTACTTCACTGAAGAATTTAATGTTTTCCAGTTCCTGAAAGCAGAAATGGGCCGAGACTACCATCTGGCAAAAAAACTATGTCAGATGAGTAAGTACAAAATACTTTCATATTTTCCAATATTTGTTTCTAGAAACAAATTCCATAATACGTAAGATGGTTTGATAATCATGTCTAGTGAATTTCCTTGTAGTGTCTCAGTGATTCCTTGATAGTAAATTAGATTGATTGGTATAGGACTAATTTAGACTTCTAGAGTATCTTTTAGTGGAATAAAATTAATGTAGACTCATATAGACTAATTACCACCAATAGTAAATAAGTCAAAATCCTTATCCTAGTGATAACTTTATGCCTTTAGTTTCATAGAAGTGTCAAGCAGTGCAGCAGTCGAACCTTACTTAACATGCATTTATTCCACAAATAGTTGAGTGCCTACCTGTGCCAGGTACTGCTCTAGGCACTGGAAATACAGCAGTCAACAAGACATAACAATCTCACATATGTCTAGTGTCGGACAGATAATAAACTAATAAATAGTGTGTCATAAATAATAGGTGCTATGGAGAAAAATAAAGAAAGGGGAATAGAAGGTACTGGGAGAAGGCAAAGCAGTTTTAAATAGGATGGTCCAGGAAGGCCTCACTGAAAGACTTGAGGAAAGACTTGAAGAAGTTGAGGAAACTAGCCATGTGGGTATCTAGAGGAAGAGTGTGTCAGGCAGGACAAATACCAAATGTGTTAAGATGGGAGGAACAGCAAGGAGGACAGTGGAACTGGAACAGAATGAGCAAGGGCAAGTTAACAGGAGACAACATCTCCTATTACAGGGCAGGGATCGTGTAGATTGCAGATGACCTTTTCTCAGTTCAAGAGGCTTGCCTTTTTCCCTGAGTGAGGTGGGAAACCACGAGAGGCTTTGGAGAAGAGGAATGATATGATCTGCTTTATTTTTCTTTCTATCTTTGGTTTCTGGTAGTTTGACTCGATGTTCAAAGTAGTTGTGGTTTTCTTTGTATTTATATTGTTTGGGGGTTTGCTGAGTTTCTTAAATCTTTGGGTTGATGTTTTCATCAGCTTTGAAAATTTCTTGGCCATTACTCCTTCAAATACCACTTACGCCCTATTCTCTCTCTTTTCTTCCTTGTATCTTATTTTAATTCATTTCTGTGCTTCAGTTTGTGTATTTTCTATTGATCTGTTCTTGGATTTATTTATCCTGTCTTCTCCTGTGTCCAATCTGCTGTTAAAACTATCCAGTGCATTCTCTATTTCAAAGATTATATTTTCCAGTTTTAGAATGTTCACCTAACGATTTGGAAAGGCTTTGGTTCTCTGTTGAAATCCACCATCTTTTCAACTATCTTGCCCATCTTTTCCTCTAACATATTAGTCATAGTTATTTGAAAAGAGAAAATGGCAACTCTACAATTAAACCTTATTGATAGTAGGACTCAAAATATTAACTAGTGTTGGAAATTAAGTCTTGTGGTAAAATCCTTGAAGTGAAAATGTAGCACAGGGATTGTGAGGGTCTTCCTTCGCTTGCCACACACAGAGTCCCCACTATGGATAGAATCATCAGCTAATTTTAAAAATGGGTTTCTTGAGTACTTTTACACTACCTATTTTATATCTGAAGTAAATAACTTGCCTTGTTTAATCCTTTCAAGCACATTTGACCTTTAGAGCCATCAAATAAAATATTTTGGTCAAAACTATTTTTGGTGTTCCACAAACATAGAATTTCCAGTCAAAAGGAATCCTCAGAGAGAATCATGTCTAATCCTCAATTTTTTTTTTTTCCTTTTTTGTCTTTTTTCGTGTCCAGCAATGGATCGCAACCCTCAGTGTCACGCCCGTACCGGACCGGGACCGGCAACGGGATCGCAACCCTCGGTGCTGCGCCCGCACCTCGCTCAGCCAGTGAGCGGGAACTGGTCTGTATGTGGGATCCGAACCCTTGGCAGGAGCGCCACTGCACTCCCAAGTGGCGCACTGTAGCAGTGCGCCACCGGGCCGGCCCTAATCCTCAATTTTTATAAAGAAACTAAAGCAGAGAGAGGTAAGCAGCTGGCTCAGCACTATTCACAGTGACGCTCATGGTGACACAGCCAGAATGGGAACCCAAGCCTCCTTCTCCACAACACCTTCCTTCTCTCTGATGGCTAATGTAGAAGTGAGTCATTCTGTAGTTCTAGCTCCCCGTTCTCTGAATCTCTTGTGAAGCCTAATTGTGGGAAATTTATATATTTTGTTTTCATATCGATCAATCATTTTAGAAAGCCTCTGGCTGGGGCCGGCCCGGTGGCGCACTGCTACAGTGCGCCGCTTGAGAGTGTGGCGGCACTCCCGCCGAGGGTTCGGATCCCACATACAGACCGGCCGCTCACTGGCTGAGCAAGGTGCGGGCACAACACCGAGGGTTGTGATCCCGTTGCCGGTCACGGTCCGGTACGGGCGCGACACTGAGGGTTGCGATCCGTTGCCAGTCACGAAAAAAAGACAAAAAAGGGAAAAAAAAAAAAGAAAGCCTCTGGCTGAAGGAAGATACATGTACAGAATATATGGACTGATACCACCACATTTGCCAGTCGGTTGGGCTGTTAGGCCTGCAGTATGCTACATAAACAGCAGGTGCTCCGTAAAGCTTGTTGACCTGACTTGAACCAGTGAATATACATTAAACATCAGATCAATGGGGATGAAAAAGTTCAAACTGATCTATCATAACAGGGTTTTATCCCTTTGAAAACATCCTCCCTCTCTTTCTCCCTTCCTTCCTTCTTTCCTTCCTTCCCTCTTTCCAACAAATGCATACTGAGCACCAGCTCAGTACCAGGCATTATGCTGGGAGCTGGAGAGGAAGCAGGAGTGTACTAGTCCATTTCTGTTGCTTATAACAAAATACTAGGTAATTTATAAGAAAATGAAATTTATTGCTTACAGTTTCAGAGGCTGGGAAGTCCAAAGTTCAGGGAACACATCTGGTGAGGGTCTTCCTTTGTGGTGGCTTTAGCAACACAGGGTATCACATTGTGAGATGGTAGAAGCAGAGAGGGAGAGAGATTGTCGCATGCTCTCCTTTTAAACTCCTCAAAACCACACCCGTTAACTAGGGCATGGCCCTTACAATCCAATCACCTCCCCAAGGCCCCAACTTTCAATCATTACAATAGGATTTCCCACTCTCTCAACACTGTCACAGTGGGAGGCGAGTTTCCAATACCTGGAACTTTGGGTGACACAATTTAAACTTCAATGAGTTTGAAGGGGACATTCAATCCACAGCAAGTAGTTAAAACATGCGGGCTCTAAATCCTCTTGGGGTTGACATTACACAGAGTTGGTTTTTCATCCCTATTGGCTCACCCAGTAACACTGTCTACTCTTTCTGTCAGTGCCTCTGGAACTAAGGATTAGACTATAGGAGAGGGAGCTCTGGAGGGCTCTCAGACAGGCACCATGATTCTGGGCGCCAGTTGGGAGAGAATGCTGCTCCCAAGAAGAAGAAAGCCCTGACAGGAAATGTGGGCAGAGAGGCCAGAGGTGAGGGAATTGAGAGTGCCTGTGCAAAATACGATTGACTACCCCTGAGGCAGATTCTCAACCAAGGCTTTGAAATTAGGGAGGCTCAGATTTAGCAATGCCAAGCAAGGTCAATGAAGAAGGGAGAGTAGGATATAGGCTTTGTCGCAGTGGGAGGAAGCACTAGTTCTGTGATGCTTGTGAGAACACTTGATTGAGGGCTGCCCAAAAATCCCTTTCTGTATTCAGAGCAACAGACAAAATGAATTTTTCTTATCTAGGATGGACCCCAAAATACTTTACAATAAATGTGATATTCTTTTGTCTGTCTGTTTTTCCATCTTCTAGCTCCTCTACAAAAACACTCCCTCTTTCTCTATATATACAGTGTATTTACAAATTTATAACTTTGTGTCCATAAATGTAGATTATGTATTTACATATTTATGTATTTGTATATGTATGTATTGAGCACCTACCTCGGGGCATTCTTGAATACATTGTTTAATTCTTAAAACAATTCTGTGAGGCAGGTATCATTAATCCCACTATACAGATGAGGAAACTGAGGCTAAGCAAGGAGAGCTATTTCACACAAGATCACATAGCTACTAAGTGGTAGAGTTAGGATTACATCCCAGGTCTAACTTGAGAGCCTATGATTTTGCTACAATATTTCCATCTCCTCATTTGATTAATAACCTTTATTTTCTGGTAAAGGAGGCAGAGAATTGGAAAATACTTTTATGGATCAATCAGGCTACAAATGGCTCCTGTGGTTGACTAGTATATCTATTTACTTGTATATGAGGCAATTTATATAAAATAGTGCATCCTTGTCCCTTCAGAAATGTCATGTACATTAATTTTCTTGAAAGAAGATGCTGGTTCCTGGAGTGTTTTCTTGCTAATTACTGTATAGTATAGTCATTTATATCTTCATTTGGCTATAGGGTTTCCCACCTAGCATCTAGATGCCCTTTGGGTTCTTTTCTCTTTGCCTGCCTTCTAAAAAATTTGTACAATATTGGGTTCTCTCAAGAAATTTTATCTATTGGCATAGGCTTGAATTTTATGTCTTTCATATACAGTTTTTATATGGCCCTAATATTTCCTTAGCCATTTTCCTGCTGTCTCATGCAGAACTGATATCTATGCTTCATTCCATTTCCTGCCAGCCAGTGGGGGCTGAAAGTGAAGAGTCCAAAGTACTTTTCTTCATTTATCTCATGAATGACTATGAGAGTTTGTGCCAATCAATCTTTCTATTTCTTGGTCACTTTGCCTGTGAGTCAGAAATCTGCAGCTCCTTCTCAGGGCACTGCACTTCCACCCCCAGGCAGCCTGAGATTCTACACAAAAAAGACTGAGGCCCTGGAAGACCTATCTCATCAATTATAACAATTGTAAATGTTAGAGAATAATGGCTTGAAAACCAAAATGGTTCTCATCACTATAGGTCTAACATAAATACAGATGTATCTTCAGAAAAGATAGTTCCTACAAAGTTTTCTATTTCTTTTTAAGTAAAATAAATCATGCTTTTCCTATTAGCCTAGACTGCTTCCTACTGATTTGTCTATATTTATCCTATTTTTTAACATTTTGAGGGCTCCTGCTATGTGCCAGGCACTCTACTAGGGATGCAACAGTGTACAGCACAAGAGTTTTCTGCTCTAGAATAGCCCCTAGTCTAAGGAACACAGAGCCCCATAGAGCCCCACAGGCAGCAGAACCCCCTGCTCCCCTGCCCCAGCCCTGCAGCCAGAAGAAAGCGTCCACTGAGTGCTTGGGAAGAAACCAAGCCTCTTTCTAGGCCCAGAACCACTTCAGGAATACAAATAATAACCGACATTTATTCAGCACTTACCATGCACCAAGGACTGGACTAAGCATTTTATTTACATTGTCTGATTGATTTGCCAAAACAGTCCAGTGTGGTAGACAGTATTATTACATGTAAGAACTGAAGTACAGAGATATTAAATACTCTCCCCAAGGTGACCCAGCTAGACAGTGGCATAACCAGGATTCACATCTGGCAGTCTTTCTCCAGGACTCATACTAGGCTCTGCTTCCCTTATGGTGCCCAGGCTGGGAAACAAACCCCAGGACACCAACTGCATGTGCTAAAATCTTCTCTTAACAATTTACAAAACCTACTATCCTGCCAAAGAGTAAGAAGAATTTTTGATTTGTCACCTAGAATAGATATTGTTGGGCTAAGTTTCAAAGCAGATACCTTCCACCCTCTCTCTGAAAATTGACAGTTGCCAACAGTAGTTATAAAGCATAGGGGTAGCTAATCTCATACTTCAATCCCATGGGATAATCCTAATTCCAACATGAAGTTTCCTAAACTGCGTTTTAAGGAATGTTAGTTCAAAATTTCTTAATAAGTGTTCCACCAAAAAATGATTGATTGTTAAATAAATTTGGAATTACAAATTCTCTCTATAAGATTCATAATAGTTATGGGCATAGTAATGGTTCTGTGAAATCCTGTAGGTACTCCTTACTGTAAGCTTTACCTGATTAGTTTATTTAACCTAGCTTTCCAAATATGTATTAAGAACTAGTATCTAAAGAAGCAAGTTGGGGGCCGGCCCGGTGGCACACTGCTACAGTGCGCCGCTTGGGAGCGCGGTGGCACGCTCCCACCGAGGGTTCGGATCCCGCATACAGACCAGTTCCCGCTCACTGGCTGAGCGAGGTGCGGGTGCAACACCGAGGGTTGCGATCCTGTTGCTGGTCCCGGTCCAGTACGGGCGCGACACTGAGGGTTGCGATCCATTGCCGGACACGAAAAAAGAGACAAAAAGGAAAAAAAAAAAAAAAAAGAAGCAAGTCGGAGAAACCCTGCTCTAGAAAGAGGCTTAGCCTCAGAGAAGGAATTAGGCTTCTAATGATAAGCATATTTTATTCCAAGTTAAAATGTATAAAAAGACACTTTTAATAGAAACACCTTGTATGTATCTATAATGATCCTTAAAAGCAGCTTCTGAGCAGGCACACGGTCATGCTATCGCAGATTGATGATAAATTGTTATGTTACTGGATTAGGAAGTAAAGTGACTGGTTTGGTGTGTCAGGATAAAAGGCATGGGTTGGGTCTCTGAGCCAGTGGGGCCTAGCTGAACCAACCACAATTATCTCTTACTGGTAGCCAGAATAGCACACTCGATGTTTCAGTGCCCCCTGGGGGCCACCAGGATATCGCACAGAATTATGAATACTCCTCAAGGCTTGTAGAAAGAAGGAAGAGAGCTCTATAGAGCAAGATCTGAAAAAAGTAGTAGTTTAGAAAACTCTGAAATAAAAGATATAAATCTTTCTGGCCTCTAGGACATTGATAACATATCAACAAACCTAAAAAGCTTATTGGTGTAGTCCAAAGGAAAGGTGACACAGTCACGTAAAGGATCAGCAAAAAGGAAGAAATAGTGCTAAAAACAATGGGTCCAATGAGGAGAGGAGAACATGGCTCAGCAGGAGATGACTGGGGTATAGACTAGAGTAAAAGTTGTCAGAGCAAAGAGAAAGAAGTAACATCAGTTTTCACTATTTGAAAGATGATATGAAAAATGGCATGTCTACCATGGAAGAGGCTGCATAAAAAAAACTCTGTTCCTTTGTGTTTAGATGAGACACATGGTAAAGGATGTCATATAGACATTGGGTGGATCAGACGAAATGAGGAATTAACAGACCTCTAGATGCTCAGTCTTCTCATTAGCAAAGTCTCCATATTTTTCAGGATTTGTACCTTCTTTGGGGAGTGATTACATTCATGAAATACTGGCCTATGAGGGAAGCCATATTGAGATGGTGGAGATTGCATTCTTTGGATAGGGGGTAGAAAATGTAATGAGGATCATTTCTCTTACAAAGCACCACATATAAGTGGAACATTGTCTCTACTTGCACTTAGATATACCTGTGGTATTACTGTTGGTGTTTATCACTTTGTGCATTTTCACCTGCTGATTGACAGTTTCAATCTCATTGTAAGGAACCTGTTTGCTGAAACACTTTGAACATTAATAACACACATTCTGTTGTCCATTTTCAGTCCTAATCTATGAACCAGAAAATCCTGAGGCCAAGGAGTTTTCCACACTTATTGAAGAAATGTTACTGATGGGTAATTTTAAAAATTGAAATTCCTAAGGGTTCAGATCCCCATACTAGCTATCTGCCAAAAAAAAATTTTTTTAAAGGAAATTCCTTTGTCATAGAACTATGAGAAGTCACTGTTCAAAAACTCATTATCCCAGGAGATTGTCTAAATGCATCTTCAGGAAGTGGATAAGAAAAGGCTAAATGCTGTCTTGAATGGCTTAGTGAAACCAGTTTGTCCTCTGTGAACAACCAAGATAACCGCATCTCTCTGTGGGGTGAAACTTCCCAAGCAAATCAGGCTCCTGAGTACCAGGCATTAATATCAACAAGCAGAATACCCTAAATCATCCCCATGTGTTAAAGGGGTTATCCCACAATTCCAAGGAAAGCCAATACCCTGTTTTTTTGCTTGTTTTTGATGGCCAGTATAGGGATCGAACTCTGGACATTGGTGTTGTCGGCACGATGTTCAAACCAACTGAGCTAACCAGCCAGCCCCCAATACTTTCTAAATTACCCTAAGTCTCACTTTGTCATTCTATTAAAGAATTTCATTGATGGGGCCGGCCCAGTGGCGCACTGCTCCCGCCGAGGGTTCGGATCCCACATACAGACCGGTTCCTGCTCACTGGCTGAGCGAGGTGCAGGAGCAACACCGAGGGTTGCGATCCCGTTGCCGGTCCCGGTCCGGTACGGGCACGACACTGAGGGTTGCGATCCGTTGCCGGTCACGAAAAAAGACAAAAAGGAAAAAAAAGAATTTCATTGACAATAGTAAAAAATGTTTTTATAGATCTATGTTTTAAATTAACTAAGACCACAAACATCCTTATGACAGTAAGAATATATTTCCTCCTTGTACTACTGCTTTGACCCTACATACAGTTAGCAAACTTGGGCTCAGTTCTTATGTTTCAAAAATATGTATTTCTTGGTAGGGAGAGGAGTGATTATGAATTATGATTTTCGATGTGTGGAAATAGTAGGAAACATGTTAAATAACTCTCTTCCTTTCTGTGGCAGAGAAAGCTCAGAATCTTGAGGAAGATGGTGAAGACAGCGAAGGCAGCAGCGATGAGAGTGAAGGAGAAAGCAGCCAGGAGCTGAGTGATGAGAGCCCTGGCGAGTGGGCAGATGGGCCATGAACATTGCTGCTCTGGTTTAAGCAGCATATATTTTCATTAATATATACCATGGAAATATAAAGAGAGCCACATTTTGGTACAATTGTTCTTCATTTTGTACAGAGTTCTTTTAAGTTATCCATATTCTTAGTTCGAGCTCCTCCCTATTATTTAGGGCTTAGCTCAATGTGAATTACTCAGAAAGGAAATAGTCTTTGAAAATACTTATGTAGCACTGACTATGTGCCAGATACTGTTCAAACTGCTCTACACACACTAATTTAATCCAACAACCCCACGAAGCACTATTGTTATCCCCATTCTTCAGATGGGAAAACTGAGGCACACACAGAGAGAGAGGGAGTACTTTGCCTGCCATTTTACACCCATTGATTTGTACAGCCTGAATTTATACCTGGACATGATGGTACCAGAATCCATACTTTTAGTACCTCATGAATGACCACCACTTCAGGCATTTTTATATCATTTGTTTTATGTCCTTTTTAGCACATGTCAGTATCTGAAATGCTTATTATCTGTTCTTTTTATCTTCTACCTACCTGCTAGAGAATATAACCTCCATGAAGCAGGTCTTTTTCTTTCAGAGACACAATCTGAGTCGAGAAAGTTAGTAGGTAAGGTTGTATTGCAAAATGGGAATGAACCAGTTAGAGTAGAAAAAGATGAAGCGACAGTGATGAAAGGACTGGGTAATGGAGGGTCTTAGAGGTCATGTTAGAGTTTGAACTTTATCCTTAGAGTAGGGGGAGGCATTTTAAGTAAAATAATCATATTTTAGAAAGAGTGTTCTGATAGCCAGGTAGAAAAATATTTTCTCAAACTACAGGTCATGATCCATGGGTCAGTAATGAAATTATCAGAGAGTCACAAACTGCTGAGTTTGAAAAAAAAATAGAATAGAAAACAGCAGTGTACACTGCAAAAGAGTATGGGGAGTATTGTTTTGTCAATCTTCTGATTCAGGAGCGTGTGTGCACCCTAGACCTTGATGTGAAAAGTATTTCTTCCTCTGGGTCTCAATAAAAAATTAAAACCCAAAAGTATAGAGAACAGACTAGAGTGGAATACAGAACTCTACTTTTACATAATAATTCTAGCAGTTCAAAATTGTGACCTGAAAAAAGGTGGTAGCAAGGAGATGCAATGAAACAGAGGTTACTTTAGAGGTAGAATTGACAGGAATTGGTGATGAATTAAATGTGGTGAAGAGGTAGAGGTCAACGATGACTCCCAATTGGATAACTAGGTATATGGTGATGCTAACTAACCCCTAAAAAGAGGAACAGAGAAAAACAGGTTTGCTGAAGATGGAGGTTCACTTGTACAAGTTGAGTATTAGTTCCCTATTGCTGTTGTAACAAATTACCACAAATTTAGTGGCTTAAAACAACATAAACTTATTATCTTACAAAATGGATCTCACTGAGCCAAAGACAGGGTGTCATCAAGGCGCATTTCCTCTGGAGGCTCTAGGAGAAAAATCCATTTTCTTGCCTTTTCCAGCTTTTAAAACCCATCAGCAATCCTTGGCTCATGGGTCTGTTTCTCCATCTTCAAAGCTAGCAATGTCTGACCAAGTCCTCATGCTACCATCCCTCTGTTCTCACTTGCCTGTCTCCCCTTTCACTTTTAAGGATGCTCGTGATTACATTGGGCCCATCTGGATAATCCAAGATAATCTCCCTATCTTCAAGTCAGCTGATTAGCAGCCTTAATTTCCCTTTGCTGTGTAACCTATCATAGTCACAGGTTCCAGGAATTACAATGTAGACATTCTGTGGGTAGAGGGGTGCATTATTCTGCCTACCACAGGAAGTACTGGGTAAGCGTTAACAGGTTTTTTGGAATTTGTAGTATAGAGCTTAGAAGAGACACATGGGCTGAAGATATACCTTTCTTAGGAGCCATCAGATTAGAGAGATAGTAATGAAAGAAACAGAGTGGATGGATGGCCCATGAAGAGTGTAGTCTAAATAAAAAAGGACCAAAGATAAAATTATAATGATTACCAACATTTAAATTGTAGTCAAGAAAGAGAACGAGGCTGAGAAGAACAGCTGGGAGGAGAATTAGGAAAGCAAATGTGAATACTGTCGATTGCCTCCTCAGCATCCATCCCTCACTGCTTCTTTGCAAAGAGAGCCCTAATTCTGTTTAGATTTTCAGTCCCCACACACATAGCCATGAGACTCAGGAATGCTCACTTCACCCTTGGCCAGTCAGTGCATGGCATTTCTCTGGTAACAGTTATAGTCCCAGAGATGGACAAGTGACTTGCATTGGCCCAATAAGATCAAGGACTTTATTTCATGATTGGGTGATGTTCCTACATTCCCCTGGTTAAGAACCAGGAAGCATGCTGCCCCTGTCACTGCTGGCAGTCATCTTGTGATCATGAGAAGAACTATCTTAGAATGAAGCTGATGCTGTGGATGAAAGAACAAACAGAACCTAGTCTCTGGATGATGTTCAGCTCGGGAGCCAGTCCTCTCTGTTTGAGCTTACTGATATGAGATAAATCTTTCTTTTTTTTCCTTTTTGTTTTTTTTACTGACTGGTACGGGATCGCAACCCTCGGTGTCGCGCCCGTACCGGGGACCGGCAACGGGATCGCAACCCTCAGTGTTGCACCCGCACCGCGCTCAGCCAGTGAGTGGGAACCGGTCTCCACATGGGATCTGAACCCTCGGCGGGAGTGCCGCCATGCTCCCAAGCGGCGCACTCTCCAGTGCGCCACCAGGTCGGCCCAGATAAATCTTATTGTTTAAGCCAGTTTGGATCAACGTTCTTTTACCTGCTACCACAAGCATCCTAACTGATATAAAGAAACCCAGAAAACCCACAGAAACCCAGAAAAGGGTTTCAAGGATGCTGAAGATTACTTTGCCAAATGTTGCAGAGGACAAGTAAGATAAGAACTAAAAAGGGTGTTTGGATAGCAACACAGAGGTGGTTGTTGAAAAGAAAAGCAGCATCAGCTGAGGGTGGGTAGGGAAGTCTTATTTCAGTGAGTTTAGTGTATTGGAGGTGAGGAAAAGGAAAACAAGGAGTTTGACTATGAAGGAAAGAAAAGAGATGAAGTGTTATTGGAAGACATAAGGTAAAAGGAGTATTATATTTAAAAAATTTAACGTGAGCATGTGTAATAGGAAGGATAATAACATGTACTGATAGCCTGTTATGTGTTAGGCACTACAGCAAGCTCTCCATATGTTAATATTTTTAATCATAACACCTGTATGGGATAGATATTATTATCACCAATTTATATATGGAGAAACCGAAGCCTAGAGAGATTGAAAGTAATTTTTTAAAGATCACATGCCTGGGAATTGGCAAATTTAAATCCAGTTCATTTTACTTTAATGCCCTGCCCTTCATGCTATGCTTTCCTCTCTACGAGGCCAGTAGAGAGGAAAAGATTGAAAAAAAAGGGAGATAATTTATACGGCATTTACCTAATACCTTAGAAAATGCATGTAATATAACCTTAATATGTGGCAATGGGGTTCAGTTAGACCATTGCCCTAGAAGTCCATGTGTGGGATCGGAGGTTCCTCTCCTTTGTTCTCCAGTTTTGGTACTTTTATAGCCTTATATTACTCTACATTTTCTTATATATGAAACAAATTGATAACCTAGGTTTACTTTAATTAAAATGTGTTTTCCGCCCTTAACTTTACCCTGGTTGACATTTAAGATATATATAATTTTGGTATTTGCCTGAAATATTGATGTTGGTCAAGGGGGATCCCTTGAACAGAACTCATGGTGCCAGATGTGAAGTAAATCCTAGATTTGTTGGAAATGTTTTGGAATTCTGGACAAGTGTCCTATATCATGAAGTATTGAAGGTTGACAAGAGTCAGGTAAGATGAAGTCTCCAAGGCCAGACCAAGGATAATAAAGGTCTCTCTGATGGGCTTTCCTAATAAGCTCTCCTGCTATCAGGGGACATGAGTTATAGCAGGGCAGGGGAAGTGTGCAGAAATGTGGAGAGCCTTGGGAAGGGAAGCACTGGGAGATGAGTTCGACTTGCATAACTTTAATCAAAATGTACCCTTTCCAACCAGGAGACAGCTAACACATATTGTGGCTGGTTCCCCCACATCCATTCCACCCAAGATTATAAATTTAAGCAAATCATGGTCATTTTATCCCCTTTGCTACTAGTTATTGCTAGGCATGGGCAGAACTAAGCTGATTTCGGCTATAAAACGTGCAGGTGTTGGATGTTGTGGGAATGCAGGCCATGTCAACTCCATTTTCAGGTCCCTTTAGCTTCACTTGCCCTTTCTATGACCATCACCCACCCACTTCATAAGCTCTTTAATAGAAAGTTATCCATTATAATATCTGAAGCAAGGTAAGCATAGTTAGGACAATAACAGAAAATCTAGGCTAATTTAAGATAAAGATAGATGAAAGCTTTCATGCTGATGCAGGTGGTACCCTTAAGTTAAATGCTCACTGGTCACAAGACTTTTAATATATCATAGTCACAAGACATCCAGAGGTTGACCACATCAACATATTGTAGACATACTACCTTTTGTTCCTAGGTTCTTATATAAGCCCCTACTTACCTCCAAACAGTGCAGAGAGCAGCTGAATGAACATCTGGATTGCTACCCACCCAGTCCTCCCTGTGTGTAAGTTAATAAACTCTTTGTTAAACTGTTTGGAGTTGACTGCTTTGTTTTTTGGTCTCAAAGTACCTTCTCAGTTCAGAGGCTATTTCATGGCTACTGGTGGCCATCTCAGAACCATGAGTAAGCCTATGCGAAGCCAATGCTAAGGACAGCAGAGCTGACAGAAACAAAGAACCTGGTCTTTGATGATATTTTTAGTGGCTCAGTCAACTAACTGTGTTTAGTGCCTGCCTTTCCCTGAATATCTTATGTAAGACAATAAATTTTATTACTATTTAATCCATTTTGTTCCAGGTGTTCTATTACTTGCACCTGAGAGTGTATCTGATGTATCTGCCACAGCACGGTAAACATGATAATGCCAATAACACCCCTAAAGACTATGTAAGCCAAACTGGTCTCCTAGGTTACCCTCAGGTCCCCAAATGTCTGTGGCC